TAGAAGTTTATTTTAAAATGCAAAGTATTGAAAATAAAAATTAAAACTCTGTAAACACTTGCGTTTTTACAACACTATAAGTGTGTCCCATCAGGTAATGAAAAGTTGTACACACACTTGTGGTCTTCATCCTCACTTGAATACTTGGGCCAGATACAGGAAATACGTCATATAAGTAGTCAAGGGATCAAGTGCAAAGACCGCAAGTGTGGGTATTTGGACAAGGCATGAGTCTCGTCCTGCTGGGAGACGTCATCACAGTATGTTAAGGTGCGTAACATTTCCGTCACACGCTTGAGGCATTCGGCCAATCACAACGCACTGGATAGCTGGCCAATCAGAGCACACCTCGCTTTTTTAGAACGATGAGCTTTGTAAAAATCGACACGTTTCAGAAAGGCGGGGCATAGAGGAGAAACAATAATGTACAGTATGTGGAAAATAATGTGTTTTTTACTTTAAACCGCATAAACACATTTCATTACACCAAATACACAAAATAATGTTCTTTTTAGCAACATCATATGACCCCTTTAAGAGCTTCGAGAATATTCGTTTCCCTCTAATTTGCTCGGAAATGTGCCTGAATGAAACAATGGAAGTGGGGTTTTTCACAGGTTTCTTTAGTGGTAATGTGACGTAGGCTATATAATATTGTATTGTCTTGATGTCTGAGGAAGTTATCTGAGGAAAAAAGCCCTTTCTGAATTGTGAAAAACGCAACCCATTACTTTAAATTGTAGACATACCATGTAAACATGATTCAAATAAAATAAAGCTAGCTAAAAAAAAATTAAATCTTATTAAACTGAACACCAAGCTTTTGTCAAAAATAAAGCCTTATCTTCGACACACAAATATAACATGTGTACTTTATCTTTGATTACAAACAAACAAAGAAACAAAAATTAATAAACAAAGCCAACCACCTAATAAATAATATGTGTCAGTACTGGGTCAATAGTATGTAACAAGCATTACTTTTATTTGTATCATTAAAGAAAATCAGTTTACTTTATAATGCTTTCTAGAAAATAATGTAAAAAAAAAGTGATGTCACAGAAAAGCACACCATTGTATGACTCTCTCTCTCTCTCTCTCTCTCTCTCTCTCATAGCTGTGATGTCTTTAAAGAACTTGTTTGACCAGTTTATTGTCATTCATTTTGTTAACTAAAGTCGTGTTAAAAAAACTGATAGTACTAAGTTTTACATTAGCCCAGATCTCAACTGATATAATCATAGTGTGACATAATCCCACAACTTTAGTCTTTTCCTCTTCAGTATCACTGTCTTGAACGGCTTGCCAAGGTTGAATACAGGATTAGTTAACGTCACAGACTTATTGGTAAAGCAGCTCTTTTACTGCAAGTATAGCGGAAACACTTAAGGAAGCATTTTGCTTGATATATTGAATTAAATTTCAACACAGTAACAACAAAAACAACTTCTAATCCAAAACACTTCATAACATTCATTGAGAGAAGTGAATTATGATGCTTCTCAAGGAAGTAGACAGAAGTCTTAAACTCCTTCATGAGGTCAAACAATGGAGAATTCATTCTCTTTGCACGTAAGAGACCAGCTCTGGACAATGAAGATGCAGATTGTGTCCAGCGATAACAGATCTAAACATTCCTCAGCTATGAGATCATTGGAGCTGATGGGATGGACCTCCATCACGTCTCAGATTTATCAGCTGCTGTAAATGATATAAAAGCAAGAGGGATGACCTACAGATACATCAGTGAGATACAGTCCATCACACATCATGACCTTCACCATCTTCTCCATCACCTGCTTTGCTCTGGTGGCCTCTGCTCTGGGTAAGTGTCTTCTTTAGAAGTTTGCAAGAATAATGATGGGCAAATATATTTAGAAAATGCAAAACCTGCCTTAAGAGCTTCCTGTCTCATGCTTGTCTCATGAACAATGTGTTACGTTCTGTAATAACAGGTTGTGGAGTGCCTGCGATTAAGCCACAGACGATCGGCAGCAAGATTGTGAACGGACAGAATGCCATCTCTGGTTCTTGGCCCTGGCAGGTCTCTCTTCAGGTAACTCATCTGTTTTTCATACACATATTTGTCTGCTTTGCTTAAAGAGTAAATTTCATGTTTTCAATGCTTTCACCTTTGAAACAGCTGCCCAGTGGTTTCCACTTCTGTGGAGGATCCCTGATCAACCAGAACTGGGTTCTCACTGCTGCCCACTGCACTGTCGCGTAAGAGTCTTCAATCTGACAAACATCACATTCAATAGTGGTTAATAGATGCTCTTTCAGCTTTCTGTCTGTCTTTTAACCATTGATTTTATCTTTATCTCTCATTTCAGGGTCGGCTATCACCGTGTCATTCTTGGAGAACATAATCGTGGCTCCAGTGTTGAACCCATCCAGGTCAAACTAGTTTCCAAGGTAACAATGTTTACTGATCTCAGTGGATCAGTGATGAAATCATAATGAGTGATCAACCAATGCTTTATGACTCATACTATACTGATTATTTATGTTGTTTTAAAAGCAAAA